CTAACTGGCTTGATCTCCGAGGAGCGCACAAAAAGGTTATCGATGTAAAACTTTTGCTGTTGCCAGCTGTTGACGGGATCCAACAATAAGAAACTCTGTCTTGCTGTCATTTAGCATGAGCTGGTGGTGAGCCATTCAATACCGAATGTCAATAAGAATATGTAATTGGATATATATAGATAGTTAGTTCTAGAAATATAGGGACTAGTTTGAAAACAACGATTTAAATATTATGATCCTTGCAAATGCTGTCCAGCCTTGGGGTATAACATGTACAATCCTCCAATCCGCTTGAGCTATAGTTGTATATCATCTGCATATCCTCGGACAGTTGTTAGATGTATCTTGTCCACATGGGATAGAAGAGATGCGTACATTATGAATAGCATAGGGCCCAGACGGCTTCCTTTTGGAACTCCACATGGAATAGAAGAGATACGTACATTATCAATAGCATGTAGGTCCCAGACGGCTTCCTTTAGGAACTCCACATGGAATAGAAGAGATGCGTACATTATGAATAGCATAGGTCCCAGACGGCTTCCTTTAGGAACTCCACATGGGATAGAAGAGATGCGTACCTTATGAATAGGATAGGTCCCAGACGGGTTCCTTTAGGAACTCCATATGGAACAGAAGAGATGCGTACCTTATGAATAGCATAGGTCCCAGACGGCTTCCTTTAGGAACTCCACATGGAATAGAAGAGATACGTACATTATCAATAGCATAGGTCCCAGACGGCTTCCTTGAGGAACTCCACATGGAGTAGAAGAGATGCGTACATTATGAATAGCATAGGTCCCAGACGGCTTCCTTGAGGAACTCCTGTAATTAAGAAGATGAAAGTCCTGGGATTGCGCTGCTCGATGACCACGCGATGTTTCCTCCCAGACAAGAACGACYTAAGCCAGGAAAAAGCGTGATTAGTTATGCCTCTAAGCTCATTCTCTATAAGTATAACATGACGTTGTGATCGATGGTAAATAGATTGCCGCATGCTTAAGTCCAGCAGGACAAGAAGAGTGAARACTTCTTGCATATCCATACTTAGAAGGACATCGTTCTGAACCCTGGGTCGGTTCRCGGTGATGTCGAGTGATGTTGAAAATGCGATGACTGATTGGTAGGCAAGGACGCATGCTCAGAGCAATCACCTGGGCTCCCTGAAGCTGTGGGATGACAGTCTTTTTTAGCTATTTTACTCAGTAAGAGGCAGATTACTAACTGGGCGGAAGTTCGTGCTAGCTAAGCTAGTACGCTATAAGTTGAAGCGCGAATCAAAAACTGTTCTTTATATAAGCAGTAAAACGTATTAAAGTTTGACTAACTTGTWTCGCGACGAAGAAGGTTTTAAAACCTATACCTTAAACGTCCATCGTGTGAGGGTATGATAAGACTAAGGCCCCGTCCCCACGTATCCGGAAATTTTTGTATCCGCAAATTTTTTTGGAATCGTTTTCGAGTCGTTTTCACTGTCCACACTTATCCGGAAATTTCTTGATCCGCCCTGATACACGCTAGTGCCTAGTCCCTTTGACGGTTAGTTTTTCTTATTGGGCATGCGCAAAATCGTGTTTAYGTCAGCKTATTCGAAAATTTGCGGATACGACCGTCCACACGTATCCGTATTCGGAGCGTATTCGAAAATTTCCACTCTGGAGACCGTTTTCGAAAATTTGCGGATACGGATACAAAAATTTGCGGACACATGTGGACGCAACCCGTATCCGTAAAAAAACATTGCGGACACAAAAATTTGCGAATACGTGTGGACGGGGCCTTACTCGAGGATGGACCACAAGGACAATCAACGTTTTTCTGCTCAAAAAATCTCATAGATTCSACGATAATCGAAAAGAAGTRATTATTACGTCACATAAGAGCGAGGGCATTTAATCCCAGGATACCTCTGGTCGCGGTGTGAAAAAAAATTGAAATAGGTCAACAACAAAAAGAAAAGAAAAAATAGAAAAGAAAGGAAGAGAAAAAGAAAAGAAAAAGGAAAAACAAAGGAAAAGGAAGGAAAACTAATATAGAAAGTAAGGAAAACCGAGAGAAAGAAATTTAGAAAAAATACTGTAATCTGTGCGTAGGCGCGTGGCGTTTTTCTACGTTTTCAAGTCCGATCTCAAACTGTTCAGTACAGTATTATATTTTCTTCTRTGACAACAAAAATGAGGTGAATACGGCCAAATACTGCTGTGAATATTTAGAGCCAGATAGATTTTCTTCTGTTTCGAACTCCTCCAGCAGGATTGCGTAGGTAGCTTCGATTCCTTTGACATAAGAGTGGTTCCTTCGCCTTCGCAAAATCAGATAGAGAACTCACAAGAATAATATAATACGAAGAACCGAAAACAATCAAATATCCAAGAATATCATCCCCAAAAAACTTTCATTGCATGAATTCACTCAGCTTATTCAGAAAATGAACGAAAGCAATCAAAATTTGAACGAATAAATGAAATTATATATTAAAATAAAGATTATTGCGGTTTCAACGTACAAACTCAGTCATACAGTACRATTAAAATACACTTCTTTATATGATTTAATGCAAATGAAAAAAATATTCTTATTATTATCTAGTTAACTTAATGAGATTTGGTGTGCATATTTTGGTATTGTTACCATTATCATCATAACTACAAATTTCTTTTAACGCTATGAAAAATAGTTCAACATGAAGATAACGATTATGTTGATGAACATATAAAAACCAATATGTGGTGAATTTGGAGCCCTCTTGAGAATCGACAAAACTAAGGGAAAGAAACGCTTGTTTAAACCAATATTCGCACTGAAATGCGAATATCCATTTTTTCAAATCATGGTCGGAAGTTTTTCACCAAGGATGAAGTGCTGGAAAAACAATTAAAAGGATGGAGAGTCTCCAAATAAAACACATTAATTGCTTTTGCAATTAAGTATCCAATTGATTCGAATCCAAAAAAAAGTAAATATAGGAAGAAGAATATGTAAGGAATATTGTTCGCTGGCAGGAAACACGGGAAGCGCCCACTGACAAGCAGGTGAATTTGATTTCTGGAACGACCACCTGTGATTGGTTGAAATACAATAGGTATTGTATTTACTGGACGATGATTGGTCGAATAAGGAAGGTTAGTGGTTGTGACCCAGGTTTCATTCTAGGCGTTCTCGAATCAAGATGGCGTCTGTGGACAACAAGTCATGGCAAAAAGATGCTGCCGACCAGAATTTTGATTACATGTTCAAGCTTTTAATAATTGGAAACTCTGCAGTAGGGAAAACATCCTTTCTCTTTCGATATGCCGATGACTCGTTCACATCAGCCTTCGTCTCGACCGTCGGGATCGACTTCAAAGTAAAGACTGTATTTCGAAACGAAAAACGAGTCAAGCTGCAAATATGGGACACAGGTAAGGGTTTTTTTGAGGGATTTATTCCAAGTAAAAACACTTTTATACTTTATAATTCGTTTGTATGGTTGTTCTATAGCTGGGCAAGAGAGATATCGGACAATAACGACGGCTTATTATCGAGGTGCGATGGGATTTATTCTTATGTACGACATAACAAACGAAGAGTCGTTCCAAGCCGTTCAAGACTGGTAGGTCAAATTTATTTGATTTTTACTACAAAAAACTTCCTTTTTACTACATTTTTCAACTAATATTACTTACTGGACAAGCTGTCAAAGTTCCCAGGGTGTTGTTAAGTCGATATATTTAATATTTCGCTTTATTTTCAAGTATAAGTTATGTGAAATTCCATGCTCGTCAGAGCAACTCACTCTCGATTAAATATTCGTTTATATTTGCAGTATTTTCGTATTTTATTTATAGATTTGGACTTGATGAGATTTTATTTTATAAACTGCTACTATTCTTTCTTTTTCTTTTTATATTATTTAAAAGGAAAACCAAAAAATCATGATTTCTTAAACAATATACAGAATTATGTTTTTAAACTCACAAGGATAAAAATTGTATAAGTTAAACTAACCGTAAAAAATTCCGTCATTTTATTAATTCCAACTATTCCTTCTAAATTCGAGAAATATTTGTTTAATTTTTAAGAGAAAATTACTAGTATTTATTAAGAAATTAGCATTCTTTCCTAATCAAATATAATTGGAAATTTTAAACAAACTGGCCACGAAAATTGCTTCCCATCATAAAAAATTCCATTTTTATCAAGAGTACGTCATCCTTAAGTAATAATGATTAAGCATACCTTTTTCTCCATTATTTTTTTTAAAATGTAGATTTGACTCAAAATGAAAGAATAAAGTTGACAGCTGTAAAGCGAAAATGCGCTAAAATTACGTCTGTACTGATACGTCGATGACCGGAGTTTTAACTTAAGCGGGAAAATTATTTTATAAAAGATCAAAGAGCATATATTCTAAGCATTTCCTTTTCAGACGATAATACCCATCGTTATTGTTTTTTCACAKTTTGAAAGGCAATCGTTTATTTCCTCATAAATTACTATATTCTGTAATCAATCTCATTTCATTGCTTGTCATTTTTGCATATTTTAAGATTAAGATGGACGTTCTACAATATTAAAATCTTCACGTTTGTGAAATGTTACTATTATCCCCTCTTATTATATTCCTATTATTATTATTATTTTCTTTTTTAAAGTCATTAGGCAGAGAAAAACTATATAGTCATCAATGATCATGATGATAATAAATTAGTAAAGCTCGGAAGGAAGTATCATAATTTGTCATTTGTCACTAGCTGAAAGGGAAACTGAAAAAAACTCAGAGTCCCTGATAGACATATGGTCATTATCCTAGTTATTGTAACATGTAATACTTTAACCAATTTTTATATAAGTGGCTACAATATTGTTTTGTGGTCCTTCATGAACTAATAGTTTAGACAAAATGTCAAGGGTCGATTTACCTGCAGGTTATATTGTATATTTGATCCCAATTTTAATTTTTTAAAGTTAAAAATAGATTTTAGAGACATTAGATTTTTTTCCTGTTGAATTTGACCCACATCTGGTTGGCTTATTTGAGCAAGCCTCTTAAATGGTTAGAGGTTGAGGGTTCAAGTGCCAGACAGACAAAAATCAGTGTCTTAAAATATTTGAGTAGAAAGTATAGCCTCTCCTCAGAAGTCTTAGCAAATGGTTAAGCTCAAATGAGTTTGCAAAAATAAGGTGATTTGATTTAATTTTTATGAATAAGTCTTTTTTGATATACATATTGATCTGATATTGATATAGATCTTGATCTTATATCTTTTAAAAGCTGCAGACTCACCAACATTGTTATATTTTGGAAATAAATAAATAATTTGAAAAAAAAAAAAATAATAATAATAATCATTTTAGAAAAGCATAGTATTAAAAAAGGTGTGTCTTAAATTCACAATCATCATTTTCAGAATATAAATCCATTACCATTATAAAAAAGTTTCAAATATAAATAATTTGAGAAAAAGCTAGTTAGAGAATTTATTAAAAAATAAACTCTTTATCATCCCTTGAATAAATGCAAACAGTTAGAGCTTGTGGATTTGTTTCKATGTAAAATCTTGACATAGTAAAATGACAAGGTCATGGTTATTCTTTTTCTGTTTCCTGATCATAATCTTCTCTTTAATCTTAATGTAAACATGATACAAAACTGTACCAAAAACTGAAATATTTTTCTATCTGTTAACTCGTACTTTTTTTAGAAAAATATGGTTTTCAATTTTGCATTTATAATGTGTTATTGTTATTGACCCTATAAGCTTTAGCTTTAATTTATATCATGTTGAAATATTATGARATATCTATCAGCTTTGCTGGTTTTTAGATTCTTATACATGACAGTATATAAATAATTTATCTGATATGCGTGATAACATTTTTGACGGATTAAATCTAAATTTACAGCCATTTTTGGGTTGACATTAGGATCAAGTCAAATACCTACTAATGCATTCTTTAAAGTCTAACACTCTTTATATAGCTTATTTATGTTGAATGAGCATTAAAGTATGCTGGGAATTTGTCTTAATAACTTGGCATGTGGTTAATTTGTCTATGATAATTAAATGATTAACAAGGTGTTTTGTCAATTACGTTTCAATGTTGAGTGACAGAGAGCATTTATTCTCCAGTTTTGACAGTGCAACTACTGTAACCGGGGCCACTTAGATCAGTTAGACAAGATTAAACAAGAGAACCAATTAAAATGTAGATTGAAAACAATACATTTGGGTTGTGGAGCCAATCAGAAACCTGCATGAGAATTGTAATTTGACCCTGCTAGCCATCATCATTTTCTCCTGGGAATAWAAAGATATGTCAAAAGTCTATTGTTTTTTGCTGCTTTCTGATTGGCTCCAATACTCAAAGTTGCAATGTATTGTTTTTATTCTACAATTTGATTGGTTCTTGCTGTCAGTAGTTGCTAGTGTAATAGCTTTTATTACAGTTGAGCCTGCAATGAGATATTCTTTTAAGAATCAWACAAGTGAKGCTATCGGGCCGATACAATGCTTGTTGTCTCATTTGCWTCTCATTATKYGCATGCATCCATTATATCTGCCATTCTTTGTTGCTCAGGGTTACATGTAACTTCAATTTTGTGTAGAATATTCACGTGTTCCAGTGTTTTGTATTGTTGAAGTTGTGCATTCTATACTTTACTGTTGTCTAATTTGTGAATATGAAGGGTAAACCTGAATAAAAGAGTCAGTAATCAAAGAACACATTAGTAGCACACAATTAACATCACAACAATATTGTCTATAAACAATGATAATTGCCCTAATTCACTATGACGTCACATCAAAACAATCTTCAACAATCTATTGYTTAAACGCAAAGGATCATGGTTGTYAGATGGGGTCAAATCAAAGCAAATTCACYAAAAATTGTTCTAAAATCCRTATYAATCCACRAAGAGAAGTAGAATAGCCAGYAAACGCTCAGAATATTTTTTAGTACATATTAACACATATYATAWCTGAAAACCAGGCCATTTTAGATTAAACTGTTTCACTAGGAGCAAATTTTGTTGAATTTTCTATTGGATCCCACATAAACAAGCAGTGACGTCATAGTGAATTAGGGCAATTAATATCCAAACTTATACACAAACTTAATATCTAAATTTAGACACAAAGAGAAAATAGTAATTTTGTATTATGAAATTAAAGTTGACTCATCAACCTTTAAATAATTTTATATTTTCCTTAGCTTTCGACTGACATGGCCATCTTCAGAGGAACTAAGATACATTACAATATCCACAAAATTTTGCTTTTTTTTAAATGTAGGTCAACCCAAGTTAAAACCTATTCATGGGCCAATGCACAAGTGATTCTCGTCGGGAACAAATGTGATATGGAAGAAGATAGAGTCGTATCATATGAGAGAGGCAAGCAACTTGCAGACCAGCTCGGCTTAGAATTCTTTGAAACGAGTGCAAAAGACAACGTCAACGTCAAGCAAGTATTTGAACGGCTAGTGGATATCATATGTGACAAGATGTCAGAAAGTCTAGATTCGGATCCGACAATTATTAGCGGGCAGAAACCTGGAACGACAAAGTTGACGTCAGAGAAACCTCAACAGAATCAAGAGGGTTGTGGCTGCTGATGAATCTCTGGCRCTCAAGTGACTTTCTGAAAATTTTCTTTTCAAATTGGAGCATTGAAGGTTACTTTCAACATACATTAGGGGACATTTGACAGGGACGCAGAGCAATGGACAGACCTTTGTTTATGGTATTGGTAGCAGGGCTAAAAATAATTGCAGATTATCRGCAGAGCTTTCAATAAAAGGCGGCTACCGGCGGTTCATCGCCGGATACTTCACCTTAAACTGCAGGCTATTTTGACATAAAATTAATTTATTGCCAAATAAAGTTATATACAAACAACAGTGGATTCAGCCTGCTACTTTTTAGGACTAACYGCCTACTACAAATATTATTGGAAGCTCTGTATCGGACGAAGTTCAGCTAGAATTGGAACTAACTTGTCTGATCAAAATCTTAATTTTGCCAGTCATTTTCTTCAGTGGTGTTGAGCCAGAAAGGGATTACTGTGCTAAAACCAATTTGGATTTTCRTCATGACTGGTGAAGTGGCTGAACAGCTATTATTTTCTGCCCTGTTAATGTAAAAGAGGGCAACTAAAGGGTGGGATTGTGATGTACGTAAGGGTTACTCAAAGTTTCCCCCTACTTCGACCTACTTCCCCCTACTTTGATCCCTACCACATGTCCCCTAATGTGTGATAAGCTTAAACTGGCTTTCAAAAATCTGTCGCGGGGATTATTTGAAGCAGTTAGTTAAGAAAAGGAATCTCTGTGAGAATATATAGATTAGTAAAATAATTCTAATCTTGTGTCAGTTGGGTATTTGTTTTGTTACCATTAGCTATATAATCTTGCAGAAACTCCTTGTGGGGTAGTTAGAATCTAATAATTTATTTATGGTTTATTAGTGTATCACTGTTTGCATTCATCTGTCGTTAGTAAATTATAGTTATATTTGTCGTTAAGGTTTCCAAACTTCTTAGCAAGGGCACTCAAACGAAGAAAAGATAATGCATCATCTAAATTGGGTGTCTGAGCGGCAGTATCCATATATGTTAGTATATCGTTGCATAATCTTAAACGAATCTTTTCTTTTCGAAGGGGATAAAAGAGTTGACCCTTGCACCAGCAGTAGGGTTAGCCTTCCTGCCATTCTTATAGCTGAAAACAAATGCATATTTCTTATTTGTTCAAATGATAGCTTTAATTTAGTTTTCAGTGGTCCAGATAGYTGTAAGAAAGGAGAGTTTCAATTGGCAATTTGTTACAGAATTCTCAATCACACATGCCACTCTAGTGATTGTTTTTGTTGTGACGAAGAAGCTTTTGGTGGACGTCAATCAATTCATTTCCATGACATTCTATAGGCACRTGCCCTTATAGCTTTGTGTTTTCCGACAATGTTATGGAAACGCCTTGTGATTGACGTTCACCAAAACTTTCTTCGTTGTGACAGAAAGAGTCGCTAGAGGGCGTGCGTAATTGAGAATGGCTGTAAATAATCTTGGGATTAAGTATAATGATTTCTAATAATATCATTCATAATAGTAATAATAATAATAATAATAATAATGCTTATTACTTGTATTTGCACAATTTTCCATTCACTTAGATATAATGAACTGCTCAATGAATGTATCTTATCTAATTTGAAAACATCTGTGAATCATTTGTATATACGCCCATGATCTAATTTTCTCCTCATTTGTGCACAGATTCTGTAGAAAATAAGTTAACATTCCAATTTTATGTGCATCAAAAAATTTAATGCAGTTAACACAGTTGCAAACGTTAGGAATTTGTAATTCCCATGGGCTAGGGGTCAGAGAAAGAACAAAATTACAGAGTTTGTATGGAAGAAAATTGGAATTTCCGGGGGGTAGGGTCTTTAAAAAAATTCCTCTGTGTGTGGRGTATGGATAATTTTTGGAACTACACAGTCCATGAGAATTCTCTAATTTCTATTCAATGTTTGCCAGGCTCATAGAGATTCAACTTTAAATGATTTCTTGTCCAAATGTTTCTGTATTGTTCTTGCCAAAATTGTGGTAAAAATTTATAGGCATTATCTTTGTAATCGTAGCTCCTTTTTGTGGAAATTTTACAACTGTGATTTTCAATTTCTGCGATTTTCAATTTCTGCAAACTCTGTTATTTCAACGGCTAGTTGTGAAATCATTTTTTAACTGACGCCAGTCAAGAATATAAAAGGTAGGCAGTGCAGGAACAATCGAATCTAAAATAATTGGAAATTGAAGTTTTGCACCATAATGGCAGCAGTGATGGGAGGCAAGGACAATTGATTCTGATCAGGTTGCTATCGATAGACGTCACTTCCGGTAATAGCTCTTTTTTGATGGCTTGTAGAATCCTGGAGGATGTTTTGATCTCTTGTTTTCTGGTTTGATGTCGTGAAAATAGTCAAATACAATAGTTTGAGGACTTATTTTGATATGTTTTGACTTAGCATCCGCTAGTTGCCCCCCAGTCAACCGCTTGTTTGCCTCCCAGTCAACTCCAAAAAGTCACGTGATTGATAGTTAGCAATTTACGTTAGAATTCAGTTTCCCGGGGATAAAGACTCTGTCATTGTGCCTTCTGTCATGGCTGTCATTACGTGATGGTGCAAAGCCTACGCAATTATATAATCATATACTCTGTCAAATCTTATGGGAATCATAAACTACAGTAYAATTCAGTAAATATCAGCTTAGATAACTAAAATGACAAAATCAAAATTCTATTCTTTACTGTTAATGGGTTTTTCAGAGTTGGACATTTTGTTCAATAATGGGYTAGGATCATTATCATAATTATCAATAAAATGGTTATTAGTAGCATTATCTTTGCTGTTGAAGTCATATCTTTTCATATCTTTTACTAAATAAATATTGGAACGAAGGTACTGCAGTAGAGGCTGAGAAGGAATTGCCCTATTTCACTATGACGTCACTGCTTGTTTATGTGGGGGATAGAATCGCCAAATCCAATAGAAAATTCAGCTAAATTTGCACCTAGCGAAACATTTAAATCTAAAATGGCCTGGTTTTCCAGACGTGTTAATATGTACTAAAAAATATTCTGAGCGTTTGCTGGCTATTCTACTTCTCTTCGTGGATTGATACGGGTTTTGAGAACAATTTTCGGTGAATTTGCGCACAGGTAGCCCAAGCTTGGTTTCTGTGGTGTCCTGTTATAAGGAAATGCATGGGGATTCATCAAAAATTTCAATAAAATCCTCTAAACGTGAAATAAAACCTTGAAATTCTACCCGCTCATTGAGAAATAGCACTTCTTTCGCTCTGCGTGGTTATTTTTTGAATTTAGCCCGTTTTAAGATTTTTTTCCCCACCAGTAAGAAATAAGACTCTTATTAGGAATCGCAAAAAAGTCCAAGTAGTAGAAAAACAAAAGAATATTTGTTTGTGAAATGAAAGTTTGCAAGAGGTTAAGTAAAATACAGGAAAACGATGAAAACGTGGTCAATTTTGCCGTTTGCGGGAAGGAAAACAAGTCAATCTAAAACTCTGTTGTTAAAGGGGCACTTGGAAGAAAACGCCCCGATTTTTGAAAGTCCGAATAATTGAAGTATTCGAGAATAATATGACTCAATTATGATTATGGAGATCAGATTAGTGAAAATTTTAGCCTGGGAGCCACTTGCTGTTAAAATATTTTGGGTTAAAAGAGAAAAGAACAATAGGGTTGAGTAAATGACGTCATTTACTCACAATTTAGATGCTGAATAAAATTGATAATTTTTTCCCGCCACTTTTGACTGTGAAGGAAACATGTTGCTTTGCTACTATCTGGGCCATATAGAGCGTTTTCACTCACGTGAGAAGGCAGCCATAAACAAYAGAAACTTTTTTGTACAGTATTTGCATAAAAATAGAGTTCAATCCCCGGTACCCCGTAATGGCCGCTGTGACGTCACGTGAAAACGCTCTATAGATAAGTCATTTCCAATTTTCATTGATTTTTATCCAAGTGCCTTTTTTAATAATCTCACACCTTACTCCAATAAATTATGAATGAATGATGAGAATATGTGGACCGCATAGCACTTATAAAATACACGAAGATATAGAAATATAGATAAGCTATAGTGCTTGGGAACGAGGTTATTCCGGGCGAAAGCCCTTGGAATTAAATTCGGAAAAATTAATTTCCGACCTCGCCGGGAATCGAACCCAATGAAAGAGGTGAAAGAGAACGAACTCTGGAAAAATCTGAGTACCAGGTGTATGATCTCATATTCGTTCTCTTTCTTCAATAAAATAATATTAAATCGTTCTTTAAGCTTAGTTTTCACTAGAGATGCGAGCATGAGCACAAGCACACAAGCAAGCAAGGATTTTATTTTTTAATATGACAAAAGCAAAAACCCAAACAATTGCAGGCACAATTATCACGTTCTCTTTTACTCAGTATCCTGTGCTTGTGCTTGCCTCAACAAAATTTTTGCTTGCATTTGTGCGTATGCTTGAGTCACTAGTGCGTATGTTTGTGTCGCTAGTGGCTTTATTGAAGAAACAAATATGCCTCATTCCTGAAATCACAGGAAACCTGGGCTCTATATCTGTGTAGCCATAACAAAGCAATGTACGGAAAAAAATTGTTCATCTGCTCATCATATGGCCGAAAATTGYGAACAAAAAGTCTTTAAACTAAATATCTAAGATGCGTTTGTACTGTTCTTTTCTGTGCCGTTTTATTTGCCTCCTGCGTATGCAGCTGCTGTTAGTAACGTCCTGTGAAGCTTGAAGGAAGCTTTAACTGATAATATGAATGGTGCAGGCACCGCAGAGGGAAGGGACTTCGCCACCCCACTTTTTTACCCAAATATGATTTCCTGTGTACAAGTTGTTTTGACATGACGTTTTAACAAATGGACATCAGTTTTTTATGTATCTGTCCTCTTATTGACGATAAATTGCGTGCATCACATTGTCRAAGTAATGTGGATCCACGAGGCGTAGCCGAGTGGATCCGCATACTACTTTGACTATGTGATGACGAMATTTATTGTCAATAAGAGGACAGACACATAAAAAACTGATGTCTATTTGTTTTTTTACGATAACGAGAGCGATAAAAACTTCTCATTTTTAGTGATCAAACAAACAAAAAAACAAAAAAAACAACAAAAAAAACAACGGAAAGAGCGCGCGCTCGTTGGCGTCAGCTTTATCTGTCTGTCCTCTTATTGATGATAAAAAATTTGTAATTTATTGTAAAAGATGCTATTGCCTCACAAAACTGCAGCAATGGAAATCCTATTCCCAAGAGACTCTATTTCCAAATGTTTGGGRTGGGCATTGAAATTTCAAGGGTATGACAGATAAAGCATGGAAGGTTTGTTACCAATCTGGCCCTCAATTCCAGATCAAACTTGGAATTTGATTTTTTGTGGAGGGAAGAAAATTATGTTGAAGATTCAATGGAAATATAAAAGTGAATTCATTAAGATTATTTTAATACCAACAATTATACAAAGAATGGAATAAAAAATATAAAAAGTTTTACCTACATGTCAATACAGTCTGTAATTTACAATTCCAATGGCCCGTCATTCAGKCTTTTTTCAACGTAAAATATTAATAGAACATTTCTTAACTCGTTGTTTGCTTGAGRGAGCCTTTGATTCTTATGTAAGGAAATGCAACACATCTAAAATTACTCCATCGCTTCTTCAAGCTCCCTGTAACAGTCCATTTACCTGCATCTTGGTTATACTGTTCGATAGTGGTGGTCCCGCCACCTCCGAACACAAATATTACACCTTGGAGGACTCCTGCAGCAAAGTCTCGCCGAGGATGATTTAATGATGCAACAGGTGTCCAACAGTTCGATTTTGGATCAAAAGTCTCGACTGTCTTGAACGATGATCCCAATCTATCGCACCCACCAATGGCAAACAAAGAATCATTTAAGACGACTAACTCATGTCTGAACCGTGGTACATTCATAGCTGCGCAGTCCTCCCACTGGCCTGTTTCAGTGTTGAAGCACTCAACTGATGCTGTTGCCTGATCTCCAGGGGGAGTAACACCTCCTGAAACATAAACTTTGCCATTCAAAGCAGTTACGGCATGATARCTGCGTCGAATGCTCATCAAAGGCATTTTATTCCACATCTTTGATTTTAASTCCAGGAACTTTGCTCGTTTTCCACCACCGATAACGAAAATATGTCCCATTCCTTCACAGGCTGCATATTCTGCTTCCTTCACACCATCRGCMACYCTCACCCAACCGTTYAACTTTAGGTTATACTTATCTACCATTAAACCACCCCCAACGACTAAATACAAATCATTATCCAYCGCCARTGCTGTGCCCGAAGCTTCAGCCATRCCAACGACTTCAGAGCATTCCCCAGTCTCCATGTTGAAGGTCTCTATCTTGGAGTTAAACAGCTCGCCAATTAAATACAAGACAAATGGGGATTTTCTTGGCATGTCAATGTARTGATTGAGGTTCTTTTTTGTCGGGGATGACATGGCTTGGAGTGCACTTTCAGCTAGCTGCTCCCACATTGGAACTTTTGAAAACATTTCGTCACACAACATCTCTTCCAGGTAATCAGGGGACATACATGTGAATCGTATGTGCTTCATTAAGTCCTGAAACCAAYGTAAGATAATAATTCATTACTGAAGAAATAGAAAACGCGCAAGCGGGCTGTGTGCAGTTATAAAGCATGCAGGGGTTGGCAGAACACAAGAGAAGTGTTAGGAGAAGTATGAACCATAGCAGACTGCTTCTCAACACTTCTCGAGTGATCTGCCAAATCCCCAAGTGCTTTATAACTGCACACAGCAAGCAAGTTTTGTATTTCTTTCATAAGATACAAATTTCAACAGCCAGTATTTGGAATAGGAATGATGCAATTGAAAGTGCACGCATGTGCTGTGTGCTCTCATAAAGCACACTCTCCCAACCAATCAGAACGCGAGATTTATAACAGTTATTTTATAATGCAGTTTTCACTATTCTGCGAACTCGGTAGCGAGCTGCATGCCAAAATTTGGTTTTTCGCTCCTGTCAATCAAAAATTATCAGTTGGTACCTCTTATGTCCCTGAGTGGTGGCATAAAGAACCAATTTCACAACAAGCTGTTGAAATGGCTAAGTTTGAAGAATATTGAAAATTGCAGTAAGGAACATATAGTAACAAAAACGTTTCTTGCACACATTTGTTGCAAGAAGTTGCTAACCAAGATTTAACTTTTATAATGTTTGTGGGAACAATTTGAAGGCATTGCCTAGTGTGACTATAGTTAGTAAAGTCATCATGCAAAGCTCGAAGAATGCTTTGTGTGATAACTAACAGTGGCTATGTACTTTCAACTTGTCCCACAACCAGATTTGTTATATATCAGGGTCCGGAAGGATATTCGCAGGACCTGGGTAAAATGTTGCACAGGATATAGGAAATTAGAAAGAATCTTAAGTGATTCGGGATATTGGCATTGGCTGCGACTCGGGAATTACCAAATTCAGTGTCTTTGATGTGGGATGTTGCTCTTTGAACTGTGTAGTTCCAAAAATTATCCATACCCCCTCACAGAGGAATTATTTTAAGACACCCCCCTACCCCCCGGAAATTCCGATTTTCTTCCAGACAAACTCTGTAAATTTTGTTCTTTCTCTGACTCCCCCCCACCCCTCCACACCTCTTCGGAAATTCAAAATTCCTCTGTGGGGAGGGTATGGATAATTTCTGGAACTACAMRGGAAAAACATGAAAACTAATAAATGAAATAAAAATACAAACTCCTTTACAATCACAATTTATGTCGCCAGACAAGGGATTTCAGGAAAAATTTATTCAAGATCTGGCATGATTTGAGATCTGGATCCCCTTTTCCAGACCCTGATATATGACACCTAATAATATTTCACTGTRCATATATTTTTTATCACACAGGACTGCCTACTGAATTAAAACACCCCCCATCAATCCATTGCTGAGWGGGGTGGGGCCGGGAGGTAAACACTGGCATAGCCATAAAATCTGCTTCATATAAATTACTTAAAAAATAAACATTTTGTTATGAGATACGTTAAGAGAAATATATATAGCTAGATAGTTATTAACCGAACCTTATGTTTGACTATTCTCTCTTCATCTTCTTCATACCATGCCATCAAAGCTTCAAACACATCTTCTTCTTGATCGACGTGGAGTGTATCCCGGCTTATAATCTCTTCCAGTTGATGTGCAGGGATCATCCCAAACTCCTCTTCCACGCACAAAGCCATGAAATTCCAAGAAATAAAGTTATCAACCTTTGACTTGAGGTGATTTAGTGAAAACTGCGACGCCAAAGACTGAATGCCAAGACAATTATCCAACTGGATTTCTTCTTGCATGAATTCCCCGCATTCCTGTACAATTTCTGGAACTTCAAACAAGCTAGCAACAGCAAGGATTCCTTCTATGTTGTTCTGGTTGATAGCAAGCTCACAGGAGTAGAAATAATCAACGATTAATTCAACAGACTCTGGCTCACAGTCTTGTAAAGATATTGTGCTCATGAACGTCTCTACAAAACCCGTTGTCAACATCGCGCGAAAATAAGCACTGCACGCCGCTAGCACAATCCTGTGAGCTTTTATTTCCTTGTCTTGGACCTTGAGAGTTACATCTAACAGTTCTTCGTAGTTTCTGAGCTCCTTAAAGACTTGAAATGCTCGTTTTTCGTGAGCTCCAACGACATAACGAGTTCTTGTTTGAKCTTCGTCCGCCATTTGTACACAGGAAGCCCATTCAAGTAAACATTGTCAAATAACACAGGAAGCCCAAATGATGTGTTCTTTTCTGGAGTACAAATTTTCCATATCGAAGGTAAAGAAGATTAGAGAAGGAGGGGGAAAGCTTAAAATGCTATCTTATCCATAAATTTTCTAATATCTTTTCATCCCAAATAATTTGAAACGATAAAACTGGTTTTCATTGGAGTTTGCATTTGCAAAAAGCTTGTCCTCTAACAAAAGTCTTCGGGAGTAAATAATTTTTGATAGACTACTAGTTTATGAAAACTAACCTGAAGACATAAGATAATTTCAAAACTTTTATCATTAGAAAAGTGGTTAGGAAAAAATGGAAGATTACACCGGAAGCGGAAAGGGATCCTTCTATTAGTGCCAGTCTCCACTCCAAATTCTTTTAAACAAAATGGCGGCCTTCTGTGCAGAAGGTAAAGACTGCGATGACTGCAAAGAAACCTTTCTTTTACGCTTCAGGGAGTTAAAAGATGAATGTACAGCTTTGCTATGCAGCAAACCAGGTAAAAGGAGTATTATWAGAGATAAAAGATTTATTTGAAGAGGTATTTCTTGTTTTTAGTTGAGCTGCATATTGAACTTCACTTGATTTATGGATAATATTATGAATCTTTTGAAAAACATTTATTGGTCTGAGAACCTGCCTGATTAAACCTCCRTTCTCATTGACAACTGTGAGGGGGCCTATTGTATCTGGAAATGAATTTTAGTTGCAAAATCTGTTCATATTATTTCCATGAGATTGGGAATAGTCCCTTTCACAGTTCCCTGCATCATGTTGAAAGGTAGCCGTGCCTTTGCATCGAAGCGAGACGAACGGTGTGCTTGCAATGATAGAGACCCTTTTTTAACACCTTGGACCAAATTGCCYTATTTCACTATGACGTCACTGCTTGTTTATGTGGGGGATAGAATCGCCAAATCCAATAGAAAATTTAACAAAATTTGCTCCTAGCTAAACAGTTTAATCTAAAATGGCCTGGTTTTCAGATATAATATGTGTTAATATGTACTAAACAGTTTTCTGGCTATTCTACTTCTCTTCGTAGATTGATGYGGGTCTTAGAACAATTTTCGGTGAATTTAATTGTGTTGATTTGACCCCCTCCGATGAACATGATCCTTTGTGTTTAAACAATAATTTGTTTTGATGTGACGTCATAGTGAAATAGGGCAATTATTCACACGTCTCTATCATCGCAAGCTCACCGCTCATCTTGCTTTGATGCAAAGGCTTGGCTACCTTTCAAGATGGTGCAGGGGACAGTGAAAGGGACTATTAAGCATAAGGGTCTTAAATTATTTCATTTGCCAATCATAAATAAAAACTTTGGATATGCGAAATTGAATAGAATACATCAAAGTGTATTACAGCATTGAACGCAGAACCCCCTCTTTAAGAAAAGGCTAGATTCGCCCCTGTATGGGGTACAATTAGTCCAGATGGTGGCCCCTCTTTTGCCGCTGCATTTTAACACAAAGATAGAAGTTAACTAAATTAAGTCTATGAAGATATAGAAATATAGATAAGTTATAGTGCTTGGGAACGAGGTTATTCCATGCAAAAGCCCTTGGAATTAAATTCGGAAAAATTAATTTACGACCTCACTGGGAATCGAACCCACGACCTAAAATAACCCACGACCTAAAATAACCCACGACCTAAAATAACAGCTAATTAAGTCTAGGTAGCTTGGGTTTTCTCTTATACACATTTGTATTTTTGCATGTCAATCCAATTCCTGGTCACCAAAATTTATTCACAGATATAGAAGAGTTGCAACTTCTTCAAAAATCACTTGTAAAATGTCAGTCCAGTATAGYGACATTAACGAGGTAAGGGATTTAAAAGCAAACTAGATCTTGTCAAAAACTGAATTTTGAAGTATCAAAGTTTTTCTGTGTGATTGAGAAACACATGGGACATGTCTTACAGCACATACACATTATGACATTCACTCAACTCAAAATACTAGATCTACTCATGCATGTACCCATCACCACACACACCAACTACCAATTTGATCTTAATTTACCTGACATTGTTCTTTTAAAGCCAAGAGAAGCTGAATCAAAACACTCTCGCTAATCTGCTGGTGGAGTATTCTAAGGTATATTGTAAAATAACAGCTATTTAACAGTTACTGTTATCAATCTTGCATTCTGATTGGTTGGAAGCACATGCTTTATGAGAGCACACAGCACGTGCGTGCACTTTCAGTTGCATCATTCCTATCTAAAATAACRGTTATTGTAATTTGTATTTTATAAAAGAAATAAAAAACTTTCTTGCTGTGCTGTATGGAGTTATAAAGCACTTGGGGATTCGAGAAGTATCAAGAAGCACTCCGCTAGGCATTGTGCTTTTCCTAACACTTCTCTCGTGTTCTGCCAACCCTCGCGTGATTTATAACTGCACACAGCATGCATGTGTGTTTTCTATTTCTTCAATGACGTACTAAATGGGAAGCATAGGTGTTGTAGTGGTTGCCACCAGGGTTTGGTTCCAGGACTCAGTGTCATATGAATAGAGTTGCTTGTTGATTCTCTCCTATTCTTTGAGGGTTTTTCTCTTGGTTCTCTGCTTTTCCTCACAAAAATCAACTTCTAAATTCCAATGGACCCTTCTTAAAATTGTCTTAAACTTGAGTCACCCTGTCGAACCAYTGTTAAAAAACATTTTGTACATCTTTAAGTAACTTTTATGAATCTTGCTCTCTGATTGGGTGGAGGCACATACTTTATAAAAAAGCACAGAGCATGTGCTGCAAATCCTCTTGGTAYGTCAAGGTACAGACACACGTTGCAACAYTGCACGYAACAGGACTGTTGCAGCGTGTCTACTCCTGAAACTTGTCCACGCAACATTTCATGCAGCAAATCTGAAGTTGAATCCAGCTCTACTCTTGCAACATTGCGCGCAACAAATTTYATCGTGTGAACATGGCTGCAACATTGTGTGCAACATTTTGAAATTTCCAGCCAATCAGCTTGCACCAAATTTATAACTGTTGACTTAGCAGGCTGACACAAGCGATTTTGCGTGATTTTGTTGCAAGGTGTGTCACCCYGATTCAAATTTGTTGCATGCAATGTTGCACCRTGTGTTCGCACCTTCCCCTAACAGTTGGGTTCTGCCCACATCTTTGTATTTACTCACATCATAGGCTATGCTTCATGCTTACCTCTTGTTCTGCTGGCATCTTTATATCTGCACATAGCACGCACAAACTCTAGTTGGTCATCACTAACTGTTATATTGTTTGATGAATTAAATATTTTTTCATCTTGTAGTCAGTAATGGATAAAACTTATGTGGAAGAATGCAGACTGGTGAACGATGAGTTCAAAGATAACGACAGCAAACAGAAACTTTTGAATATTATTGGTAGGGAATAAGTATTTTGCTTTTTGGATGTGAGTTGCGTTGCATCTCTTTGAGCAACACAGCTGTGGCTGGAGAAATTTTATCTTTAGATTGGRAGTAATGTTTTTCCCATTTCAGATCATTCCCTAGATTATCATTTCTTTCTGCATGAGAAAACACATAAGCATGGATATAACACAAGCAATGAATTTTATTCTCAAGAGAATGACACGTKGTCTGAAGTGGGAAAACAATACGTCCAAACTAAAGAGGTCCCTGGGTGGCTCAGTTGGTTGAGCATCGGACTTTTGTGCAGGATGTTGTGGTTCGAGTCCCGGCCGGACTAACACTCAGGGTCTTACAGTGAGAAGAAAGTGCTGCCTTTGTAATTAAATCTTCAAATAGTTAGACTTTTAAGTGGCTCSGATGACCAATTTAAATGACAGTCCCGTCTCTCGACACTCATCATTACTAACCAACATAGGAGRGACGTAAAAGAACCACTGAGGATGTAAAGAAACCCTGGCAGTGACCACCCTCAGTGCCTACACCTCATACTAACAGCCTCTCATGTTTGTAAGTTGCATAAAAATGCAATCTGGAATTCATAACTCAATGTAAAGCRCCTTTGATTATATCCATAGACAAAGGATGCTATTTAAATCCCAAAACATCATCATCATTCATCAGAGGTTTTTTTTCTATGCCAGAGCAATTATCCATACCGGAAGACATAGCTAAACAGTTCCTTCCAAGCTTAGAAAATGATGTCAAGGTTGGTTTGATTGTCATCATCATCATCATCAACATCCATCATCGACATCCATCATCAACATCCATCATCAACATCCATCATCATCATCAACATCCATCATGATCATCATGATCATGATTATGATCATGATCAACATCAGCATCAGCATCAGCATCAGTAGGCTCTTGTTCCAGCCATGAGGTTGCTGTTGGCGCACATGTCAAGCCTTGCCCGAAAGGGATTGGGGATGGCTGGCACACCTAAACCACTATGGCTGGAAATCGAGCCTACATCATCATACCCTGATGTACTTAAATTATAATAGAATTAATAGACTTGCCCCTAGCGGACCTCTCTGGGAGTCACATACTCACTAGRGAAGCAAGTGAAATAAGCGAGTGTAGGAGGTCCAGCGAGTGTCGTCCTTGTTGGGCTGCCTGTGCTTAAAGTCTAGAGAATAGACTGTATCATATAATCTCAACTTGCCCCTAGCGGACCTCTCTGGGACTCACATAGTCACGAGCGAAGGAAGTAAAAGAAGCGAGTGTTAGGGGTCCAGCGAGTGTCGTCCTTGTTGGGCTGCCTGTGCTTAAAGTCTAGAGAATGGACTGTATCATATAATCTCAACTTAATACTTGGGGGGAGGGGGTGGAGCCATTGATCATTATTTTATTCACACAAGAGATGTTGTCTCTTTTAGGGGYGATTCCAGGGAGCGAGCTAAGCTTTTTGAGTACATAACATTAACTGTTGACGTTATATCATGGTAAACATACCGCGCCAAAATATTTGAGATTGGTTAACTTTTTCCTCTCTTACTCCGACGTAGGACTAGCGTCCGAAACGTCAGGAAGTTTTTTCATCTTTTTACGGTGTTAAATTTACCCTTTTATCATCACTGTTTGATTAGAAACACCGACGCAGCTCACACTAGGTTTTAGCTAGTTATCTCTCCTAACGTTTTCAGACAGAAGAATTGTTAGGCAAGGATGTGATGGAGTGTCTGTACTGGAGAAAAGGAGCTCTACTCTACATGTACTGTAATACTATCTATTCTGACAATGAAAGATGGACAGGAATGATGGCAGATTTTATSAAGGTATTCAAATCAGTCTTTGTTATACCCAGCCATCGGCTATTAGCCGAGGTGGAGTAAAAGACTGGGTTGAGTTGGACTTGCATTACTTTCTAGGCTCTAGGACTGTTTTATAGGGGACGGGAGACGGGAGCAGCAGTTGATGTAAGCAGTTGATGTAAGCGGATCGCACCTAATACAATAGATAGAACGATAATAGATACAATAGATTTTCTGAATACATTACATCAGCTGATTGCTATGTAGGTTCTCCCTATACAGTATGTAGAACCATTTGGCTCAAAATCCCTTGAGATATGAATAACAATGAAACAACAGCCATGTTGGTTGATCTAACAAGAGAAGCTAATGAGTAATGCTTTGTTATCGCAGGGGCGGATCCAGGATTTTGTTCAAGGAGGGGTGCTGTGCACAAAGTTAACCCAGGGAGGGGTGCACCCCTTAGAATCAAAGGGAAAAAACAGTATTGGTTATCTTCGAAGTAGGGGCACAAAGTGGAACCAGGGAGGGGTGCGCATCCGCCTGCACCCCTCCCCTGGATCCGCCCCTGATCGTCAACCAAGATGGTGGTTTGACGTAACAACATGGGGACKAAACAGACGCCATCTTGAAATAATGTCCCCCAAAACAATCCCACAATGCATTGCAATGCCAACTCGGCCCAGTCTTTTACTCAACCTCGGAACGGCTAATTGAAAAAAAGAGACTTATAAAAACTTCTATTCTGAAAATTCTTTTTTAGGATTGTGAAGTTGGTGTTGAGTTTTTGCAGAAAATGCTCATTGTTAGAACACCTTCAGAAGAGGATAAAGAATCCATGGAAAGTAGACATGACAGTACGATGGAACTGTTGAAGCAAGGTATGATTAGGGAACTAGAGTTCAGGGGCGGCGGAACCGGGGATTGGCGGGGGGGAAGGGGGGG